GTATTTTGGTCATTTTATGTTATAACAAAAATTTATTTAATATATTTTTCAGGTGCACCCTATTAAGATGGCGATGCATACCAAATTTCATATTCATATAAATTTTAGAGAATAATTAAAAATAAAATACTTTGAGACATTGGATCTAAATTAAACGGTCAATAGCTCACTTGATCTGAATTGGACAGCTACATGGGGGGAAGTATATATCTTCTATACAATAAGGGAAGTATTGAAACCTTTCTCTATATTTTTGTCCTCCAAGTATCAAGGGTATGGTTTGTATATAGTCGAGGCTCTAAACAATAAAAGCAAAGCGCACCTTCAAATAGTGTCGAGAAATATAGTTTCAATACTGTAAATCTTTGTGATAGCCTTAAAATGTATTTTCATCTTTAATTATAAAATTTAAAGCTTAAAAAATAGTGTAGATGATGCAAATATGTGAAAACTTGAAAATCTTAAAAATTGATTGTCAAAAAATGCGTTACAAGATGTATTATTTCCAAAACTTGAAATCCATTTTTTTTCTCATGTACATTCATCCTGAAGTCGAGATGATCAAATTGAGGATATTTGGGCATCAAAACAAATTCTTTTAGTGAAAATTTTGAGTGGGCTCTAATTTGATTGCTTAGAGCCTCGACTCTATATAAACCTTTTCGAAGTATAAAACATCCGTCTTTAAGATAGATGTAAAGGTAGGAAAGGGATCGGGGTGGGTCGTGGCGTTAGTATCCCCACACCTAGTCATAACATTGTGGTTTTCATTCCCACAATGACACCACCCCACTAACACCTTCAAAATTTTAATTCATAATCTACTTAAAAAAATAGGTAGGGGCATGTCTTCCCCACAAATTACTCAAAAAACGAAGAAGAAGAAAATATAGATATAAAGGTTTGGTCCTTCATAAAAGAATAGAATCTAACGTTTCAAAACATTTATCTTATTATAGCTCATCTAAAGTATAATTTTTATTTTTATTTATTTTATCTTTCTAAAAATCCAAATGGTAAGAATTGAGCAAACAAATCCGAAACCAATATAAAGAAAGCATAATAAAATAAAGAAAAATACCTCACAGCCGCCAAACTTAATGAAAGAGATAACAATTGAAATGAAATAGCAACTTAACATTAAAAAAATTAAAAGTAAAATGACATAGAAACTAATTGCTAAGAGGAGACCCTTTACATAGGGAAGGCAATGGACCTGACCAGATATGGGATCTGACAGGTAGACCCAACCTTAAATCTGGATATGGGTCCAAATTTTGAACCTAAAAGGTCGGGTCTGGGTCCAATACTTGGACCTAAATACTATTCGGATCCGAGTTCAAGTCTGAGTCCAACCGGACACCCCTAGCCTCACTAAGCTGGACTCTGAACCCTAGAAGATGTATATAAACAAACTGAATGAGTGATTGAAGAGAGAGAAAGTAATTCAATAATGAGTTTGTGTGGCATGCTCTTGTGGGAGCATATTGAATGAGTTATTTAGGAGGACTTTTTTAAGAAAAAATTATGAGTTTTACCTAAGAGTCATTGGACGATTATTTAGAAAAACATTATCAAACTACATCTAATATTTGAACTATTTAATGAGAAAATTTTACATAAAGTTGCAATCATATTTGTAATCTACACTATCTATTGTATTTAGACGGTATAGGTTTCACACTATCTTAAAAGAAGTACCACTTTTTGGCACCGTCTTAAAACACCTGTCAAAATCTATAATGCCAGACTAAAATAAATAGTGCAAAACAATAGAACTTTAACTTTATAATTAAGATCATCACACTATATAAACTGGACCCCTATATTTTCCAATTTTGTTCTTTTGATCAGATTTCAAATGACATGTAAAATTTGGTTTTGAAATTTACCAAATTGCATTGAGGGTAAAATGTTAAACAGTTCAATTTTGAAGTGTATTTTGATAAATTTCCCCCAAAAGAATTGAGGTTTTATTCAATGAGACCTGAATTGGACTCTTCCCTTAAGATTAAATGCTATATTTTAAGGTAGTAATTAATTAAATTTTCCTTAGGTTACTCGCTTGAGGTCACACCCTCAAAGTTTAGGAGCCTAAAAATATCCCTAAAGTTCAACCTGAGAGTTTCAGTCAAATAGTTAAACAGATGAAATGCATACAACCAACATGAAATCTTGTTGATGGAAGCAGGAGAGGAGAGAGAGAGAGTTCCGTGTGACATAAATTTAGAGAGAGAAAGGAAGTCAATAATTGATGGAAGAGAGGATTTTTGGTTCATGTTCCCGAGAGACAGTTTTGTATTCCGAATGACAACTTTGACTATCACACAACGAAAAAAAAAGCAAGGCCCAAGCCTTAAATGTGGTTGATTTTTTAGCAATTGATGCATCAGGGAAAGATTTCTGTCCTTTTCCTACTATATGGAAATTTCCCCTACCTGACCTTCCAATTTTTATCAAGTGACCCACCGTTTGATATTAGATCTGGCATTTTAAAGTATTTTATTTTTTATTTTTTTTAAGAATTATATAAATATAAAATTTGGTATGTACTATCATCTCAATGAAGCACATCTAAAAAAATATATTAAAAAATATTTTTGATAAAATAAAATAATACCTATATAAATATTTTTACAAGTGCGAGTTTAAAAGAGGAGTGGACATCCAAAATTTAGTGTCGAAATGTTTTATAAATAAAAATAAAAATAAAATAGTGTAGAGATGCGACGTTGTTTGATAGGTGCGTAGTATATAAGTTTTATAAGAGAAGTATAAAAAGCTTGTCCTTTGTCAATCGGAGAAGCTTTAAGACTGTTGTTGATAATGAGATGAGTTAAATCATCATTAGGGAGCTTTAAGATTGCCGTTGAGGTGATGATCAGTTTTTTATAGTAAAAAAGGAAAAAAAAATAACTGCAAAAAAAAAAACAAGAGCTTAAGTTACCCTGCAAAAAGGCTTACCATGCCAGCTTGATTGAGTCCAGCTGGGACTTAAGTCCATCAGCCACTGACCTGGTTCGACTTTGTTAATTCCAAATAGAACCATAAGTTTTTAGAAAACCGATCTCAATTTTTTTTTTATTGAAGTCTTTGTCATCATATTGCACCATTTTGAAGGTTTAAATCCTACCTGAGTGGAAACGAGGAAATGAATTTATAGGTAAGAGGTTTTCCAGATCTAGGTTTTCTTGGGAGGTTTCGAAGTGGAGCTGCACATACCAAAACTTTATTCCAGAGACCATTTATCTTTTGTAAATGGAGGTTGCAATCAATCGTCTCTTAAATTTCAAATGAATAGTTGTCAGAGTTTCATTAAACACACATAAAATTCAAAAGTTTTTTTTTTAAGTTCATGATTCACCTAAAGCCATCCAATTTAACATCTAATGAGTATGTGGGAATGATTGTTACTTCAATATACAAAAGATTATTTTTTGAACAATCCCTTATACATATATATATAATCTAAGGGGTTATGTTTGTTGACATTGTGACTACCAAGTTAAAGTTAGCCAATTTGATTGAGAACCACTCGATTTGAACCAAATGAATTGGGGCATAGGGGAGACTATCCGGTTGTAAAGAACCTCGTGATCACTTAATTCCTGTAAAATTTCACTTCTTTTACTTCTCTTGTGTATGTACTCTTGTCCGACTCAAGGATCACATATGTGAGACCAGGTAAAAAGGACTTGACAATATTATCAAGATCATATTGATATAGCGTCATCGAGGGGTCCGGTCTAGTTAAGTTTAATTAAAGCTGTTCCAACCCAAATTTACAACAAAAAAAAAACAAAAGAAAAAATATAATTATGATAGTTAAAAAATATAAATTTTATTTTTAAAAAATTACCCCATTTCATTTAGCTAGTTAATTTGGTCAAAACCATCTAATTTACGTGGTTGAAACTAGTAAAATTTTGATTTTAACTAGTTTTTAACTCAACTTGACTTTTACCCTTGACCATATATTAGTGACGAGGTTAGTAGGTTGTCCGATCTATCAAACCATCGGTTTAGTATGGTTTTCATCATCATCATTAAAGTTTTTTTTTTCGATTATTTAGTCGATCAATTTCGCAAAAACCATTTAATCTGATTGGTTAAAAGCTTGAAACCAATAAAATATTGACTTCGATTAGTTTTTAACTTTATTACCCTAGACCATACGGGTCAAAACACTAGCAGGCTATCCAACCTATTAAACAATGATTTTGGTTGGGTCTTTATAACTACGGAAATTGGCCGATCCACTATTTCCAATTCTTTAAAGTTTTAAATATTCAAAATACCATAATTGATCGCAATCCACATGGATAATGTACAGCTAAGGACTCCAAAAGTAGTAAGCTTATCCTCCAAATCAGCGCGAGATACCCCAAATCCAGTTTTACGACTCTCAATCGCACTTAATAACAACACTAACCTTAATCCCACTTAATAACAACACTAACCTTACTGGTTTTAAAATTAAAATCCCATCGCTTTTGAAAGAGAATATGCTCACCCCATTGCCTTTACTCTCACAAGACCTCACAAAAAATATATAAAATTTAAAGCATGAATTTCCACGTGGCCCTTCATAACTGGGAGGTTGTGATTTCCTTGAACCTCTACATCTCATAGAAGCTCTCTGCTTAGCGTTTAGCATGCAGCCAAGCCCGCACAGTTAGAAATGTGGGATTGGCAATAAATATTTATTTTAAATATAATTTGGTTTTAATTTTTAGAGGATATATAATTTTTAACATAGAGATCGTTAATATGAAACAAAATAAATTTTAAAAATTAAAAATAATAAGTTACCATTGTTTTTGATGGACCGTTCATTTGCATCCATCTTTAAAGTGGATGCTTTGTACCTCTGGACCGTATATTGTACAAATGCGGTCCAGTCCGCATGAAACAATTGTTTTTCTCGTTCTTCTACACTCTCTCTCCTAATTAACGCGATATTTTCCTTTTGGTTTGTCGTTTCTCTCTCTCTCTCAATTGTCATTTCTTGACTGCGGTTTCTCTCTCTAGTTTTTTTGTTTATGGTTCTGTATTTTTTGGTTTATGATTCGTTATACCTCGGAATCCGAGTTAAAACGTTTTTCTGAGAACCCTAATAAGAGACGCACCTCTCTCGCTGTTGGAGCAGAACTTCCACGTTCCGTAAAGGTTAGCCACCGGTCTCGAAGACTTTTCTGGAATCTCTCTCTCTCTCTCTCTCTCTCTCTCTCTCTATCTATGTATTAATCCGCGTATTTGTCTCAGTGTTTGCGTCTTGAATCCTGTGTTTCGTTGTTTGGGTTTTGTGAGCGCTGATATTTCGTTCCCCAGCAACTCCACACTTTCCTTCACTGTACATTGCAGACGTAGGAGAGATTAGGTGAGGCCGGAATCAAGGTTAGGGTTTTATCTTCTGATGGATTTTAGTAGAAGGATTTGATTTGCGTGCGCAGTTTTGAGTTTTTTCTAATGTTGTTGTGTAAGATTTGGATTTGCTTGGGAAATAGGCTGGGTTCTAGATGTAGCACGAAGGATTGGGTTTTTGAGCTATTTAGGGTTTAATTCGAACTCTTGATTTGCAGGTGGGATTAACTGCAGATATTAGGGTTCTTCTATATTTTTTATGGTTCTTTGAAATAGAGGTTACGTTTTGGGCTCTTTATGGTGTTAATGTAACAATTTCATTTCCGAATTGAATTAAGTATAAAATTCTATTTTTGGATTTTTTGTAGTTTTTTATTTTGGAGCTGGGTAAAGGGGTTACACCTCTAATAGAAGCTTTTTTTGTTTTCAGGTTTAATTAGATTAAGGGATTATAAAGTATGGAAGCTGTTGCTGTTTCATGTGATAGATCTGGGTTTCATAAACCCTGTGTTTTCTCGGGGAGATCAAGCATTTTGTTCACTCATCGCCTGCAGTTCTTGTCTTTTGAATCGATTTCCACTTTTGCAAATTCTTCACTAAAGGTACTTATCATTGTTTGTTTTAATTTTTATTTCATTTTAGTCTTTGTTTTTTGTGTGGTCTATCTGTAATATTAAGTTTTTGTTCTGGGTACATAGGAATTGTACTGAAGTTATTCACATAATAATTTCTCTACTGTTACTTATGTTTTAATTGTTTCTCTAGACTTTTGTTGTTTTTAAGATACAGAATCAATCGAATTATCTAAGGCGTAAATTAGGGTAAATTGATATAGAAAATGCTAAATTTGAAGGAACAAAAGAGAGGCTTAACCAGGACCATCTTCATGGAATTGATTAGAAAAATCACAAATTCCTGTTGATTCTTGGTAAAATGCTGTGAGGTTTCTATGTGCCATCTCATTTGTGTCGTTTTGATAAGTACCTCAGTATCCTAAAGTTATGGGTGATATTTCAATGAGCAAACTTGTTTGGAATTTGAAGATCTCACCTAGTCCTGGTACTCTTAAGTTGTTAAGATCACTTTTTCCATTTTTCTTAATGGATATTTTGATTCTTCTTCACAAACTATCAAATTCTTGAGATACAAAATCTACATTTTTATTTGGTTCCATATTCTCATGGATTAATGGTTGCATTTTCCAGTTTTACTAGAGTTTTGCTGAAGGATTTTTTGGGGTTTTCTCTAATCTTAACTATGGGCTTTTTTCCCATTCTCTGTTTTGATTCGTAATTCTGAGTAATTGAGTTGTCTTTGCTGAAAATGCAATAAAAAAAGAGATAAAGTTAAAATGTGATACTTGTTTACTTCTATTACTTTTTTAAGGTTTATGTGTGCACTAGGCTCTTTTTTTTTTGGTTTCCCTGTCTGCTAAGTACTAGTCTCTTATTTTGTCTACAGCTTTAATCAAGTTTCTCTCTCTCTCTCAACTCTTTGATATGACCCGCTTTCATTTTCTTAAATATGTTGCACGGTTTACTTGCCGTTTTGGGAAAAAAGTTTTTTTTCTTTTTTTAAACTGTTTTGGGAACAAGGTTTTTGGAGAAATATGTTGCACGGTTTACTTGTCGTATTGGGTAATAGGTTTTGGGGAGGGAAAATGGTTTGATAGGGCTGCAGCCCTATCAAAATAAGTAAACCTCACCTCATAACTCTTTGAAAATTGCAAGTCAAGCATTGGAAAACCTTTACATCAATCATATCGACTTGAACATTATGATTGTGAAGGCTGCAGCCCTATCAAAATAAGTAAATCCTCACCTCATAACTCATTGAAAATTGTAAGTCAAGCATTGGAAAACCTTTACATCAATCATATCGACTTGAACGTTATGATTGTTAAAAAAAAAGGATTTCAAGCTCTAAAGATAGTGTATATTGTAACAAATTATTTAGGCTGTCCGTTTTGCTTTAAAAATAAGGGTTCACAGATCAGCAAGATCTTACCATTTTTTGAGTTTCAAATTTTATTATCGGTGTTGGAAATTGATTTTAGACCCATCATAGAGATTTCTGTTGCTGAAAGTACTTTCTGAACGAGGGTTTGAGGTGAGGCTTTATTTTGTTTTCATAAAGCCTAGGCCTTATTGAAACCTCATCCTTTGGAGAAATACCTTTTTCTAAAAGATTTTCTTTTAATAATTATTGATATGGGAAATTTTTTGTGGGTTCCTGGAGATGGCAATCAAATGAATTTTTTTAAATGATATTAATTTTGCCTGGCTGCACTGGAAAGAAATGTTTTCTTGGTGGCCGTTTTCAATTTCGTCATTGATACTTTATATTTTATGTTGTGTTCCATCAACCTTCATTTACTGCAAATATCCAAGGACTTTTGCTTTAGCTTCCTTCCACTTTTTGTCTATTCAGCTTCAGAGGGAAGATATACTAGGCCTTTCATTTTTTTTCTTTTTGTGACCTTTTCACATGGCTATAGGCCTCATATGTTTGAGCACGAGTTAATAAGCGCTGCTGTTTCGCCATTAAGAAGGTTTCCCTTTGCCAAATTAGTGTAATGGAGTAGGTAAAGAGAGAATATCTCATTGCCTTCTGTAGAAGACTCTAATATTTACTAGGTCCTTGCTCCCTGCAAGGATCTATAAATAATTTCAGCTTTCTTCGACTTAGCCATCCTGTGAGATGGTCTCAGAAATAGCTGCAATACTGTGTCCTGCTTTAGTCCTGAGAATTTCTCTAACAAAGTTCAACCCTTGTATTACCAGGGTATATTTCTATTGATCTCATATGCAATTGCTTTAGAGCATGTCCTCTCTCTTACCATGTATTCTGCATCATATGCCACATGTTCCCCGTGCCCTTCCCTTGACCCTGGACACTATTGTTTAGTTCTTACGTCTGATAAGTCGCGATCCTCTCATTAAGGCCTCCAAAAAGAAGAACAAGAAAAATAGTGTCGATTCAAGAGCCCCTGAAAACAAGGGGGTTGGAAGTCCCTCTGGTCCAATCCCTTAGGTCCCATTCAAGCAGTTGCAAGGCTCCCTGCCCAAGAAGCGTGATTCCCTATGAGCAAAAAAGCAAACTGACTAATGCCCAAACTGGAGCACAGTTACCTAATTTCCCTGTAGTTTTCAAGCGCTAAGTGATTCACCCCTCCTCCTAATTACAAACATCTAAAAGATTCTTTTATAAATGCACACCCCGATAAATACTGCTTCCACTTATGCCCCCTTGTGGAAGCACTTGCACCGGTCATAATGGCCTCGTAGTATGTGAACACCATGTTCTACCCCTATTTCCTTTGGTGAGCATCATACGACTCTCCATTCTTGCCGTGTTTAAATCCATAGTGAGTACCATGTACCTCCTTTCTTCGATGTGTCCAAATTTCCACAGTGTCAATCTCTCTCTCTCTCTCTCACTGTTTTTAAAATGCCAGGTCCTATCTTCCTGTCGACATGTCATTGTCTCCAAATAGCACCTCATACATTCTCTTTCTTGTGCCTCACCATCTTTTACAGATACACACCTCCTGCATTTGCTTACTGCTTGTCTGTACTCCTTATTGGCTACCATCTGGAATCCTTCTCATGAGACTTGTCTTATGGGCCATATTGCAGCTATTGCCGTATTCCTCCAAATGACTCACTGCCATTCTGCTCCAAAGGCTCTTAACTTTACTGGCTTACTATATTTCTCTAACCGGACATGTCTCTACCCACACCACATGTCCTTCTCTGTGGACTCACATACAAAGTCTGTTGCCACTCCTCTCTTTTAGTTTGCCTTCTGTGAATACCTCAATAACTCCTAACATTTCAAAAGTCCCACTCAGTCGGGTATCTCACCATTGTCACATATCTCACAACTCCCTCTCTGCTACATTCCTCTCTATGACAAGTCCATTGCCTCACCACTACTTCTACCTCAGCTCCCCACTTACTGAGTCCTCGAGACCTACAAACCACCTCTGTCTCCTTGATACCCATTTGTTGCTCCCTCTATATGAATCACGATGCTCCCCTCTCTTCTTACCTCTTCATGCTATCTTAGTGAATCCCAGCTGTAACCTCCTCCATCTGCTCCCCCCCCTCCTCCCCCCACAAAAAAAGAAAAAAGAAAAAAAGGACCTGCTCTTTGGTAGCAGGAGAATAATAGGAAACGTAAGCAGGAGCATGGAATGCTAGTATCTAGAAGGATTAGGATGTAGAGCAGCTAGGAGATGGGGATCGTGAGCAGGATGACAGGGGAGTGAGGTTTTGGAGCAAGAGCGACAAAGATTCCTTCAAGAGAGCCCCCCCATTCTCAGTAGGGGTTTTAGCCAGACGGCCCCAGCCTGGTCAGGCTAAGCCTAGGTCCAGGCTAGGGCCAGCATATGTGGCCCATAGGGCAGGCCCATGCTAGTTAGATCATGGACCGGCCCAGGTTGGGCTATTCTTGGCTCGGCCTGGCCTGGCTGAATTGTACGGGAGGGTCTTTGGCCAGGCCCAGCCTGGACTGAGCCTTGACCCATTTCCAGCGTACTTCTCAGCTCTCCCTCTTCCTTTTATGATATGTCTCCCAACTCTTCTTTCTTAGCTCTTCATCTTGCTTGTTGATGTTCACGAACTCACCTAGGCATGCATAGCTGCCACCGGCACGTCCTTTTATTTTTAATAATGTCTATGGTCTTCATCTCTTTCTTTCTCTTGATTATTTTTTTTTCTCTCATGCTATCCAGGTATTGGGCATATCCTAACATGTTAAGAATTTTTTTACCAAAGGTTTTTCTGTAATCTTCTGTTTCTGAATAAAATGTGCTTCCCGTGTTTTATTTGTCTGGTGTTTTTTTTTGATAAATAGAGATATACTGCAGATGAGATTACTCTCTCTCTCTATCTATCTATCTATCTAACAATCAATCTATTTATAAACAGAAGGGTTTGGGTTGCGATGTTTTTGTTTTTTCTTAGGTCGTACTCAACATATTTGAAATAAGGAATTAGCCAGTATTTGTTGGATACATGGAATGTATGTTCTTAGGTCCTTTTTTGATAATATTTGTTGGATACATGGAATGTTTGTATCTCTGGTGTTAATTCACTAGGTTTCCTTTTTTGATAATATTTGTTTCGCTTTTAAATTACAAATTCCTTGCATAAAAGAAACTTTGTATTAGTTTCCTTTATTCTTTCTTGTTACTTTCTCAATTATATCTCTGCTCTAGTTACATTCTAAGTGACCTCATATCTTGTGTCCTCACTTTTCTACTTCATACTTGTCTCAATTTGTCCTTGCCGCTTGGATGTCCTTGCTTTTTGCCTCCCGTTTTGGAAATCATGGGGCCTTAATCTGGTCCTTTATCGAGACGGCTTCTCAGTTTAACTTCGTCTATTTGAGAATAATTTGAAAAGAATCTAACTTTGTACGTTGGGTTGTGGCCATGGATGATAGTATTCTCCTTCAGTTGTTTTACCAAAGCATGTGCATACGAGAATGGCTCAAAGAAGCAGGAGGAACATGGTTGCTAAGGCATCTATGGATTCAAATGGAGACTCAGGACCAATTGCCCCTCTTCAAATGGAATCCCCGATAGGGCAATTTCTATCACAAATATTGAAAAATCACCCACACCTCCTTCCGGCTGCCGTGGATCAACAGCTGGAACAGCTGCAAACAGATCGGGACAGTGAGTCCGAGAAGGAAGAGCCTTCCCCTTCTGGCACAGACCTTGTTCTGTATAGGTTTGTTTCCCCTCCCCCTCCCCCTCCCCCTCCCCCTCCCCCTCCCCCATATATATAAATATATAAATTTAAATTTAAAGACTTAGTTTGAGGTTTTATCTTGTCTCACCAGACACATGTAGAGACTGTAAAACCTCTAGGAGTCTTTCTCTTTCACCGAGGGAAGTGAGTGGGTTAAAGTTTCTTTGCTTATTGTGCATCTTAAGAAAACCCCAATCTGTCTTCCTAAAACCTTTCATACAGACTCATACCCTCTCAATAACATGCATCCCATCTCATTTAGCCTTTGATGTATTAAGATATATTTCATATTCCTTTTTTTTTTTTTCAAATTTATTTATTTTGAAGTGTAGTGTGGGGAAGTGGTCTCTACGCTTGGTAGATTAGAAATAGAAATCAAGACGTCATTTTATGGCATCCCGCCACTTGACCACTTAGCTTTGAGCTCATTCCTTTTCATATTCTTCTTTTGAACATGCCTATTATTTCTCGTTTGCATATCTTATTTGGAGTTCCATTAACACACTCACTTTCTAAATGGCAGGAGAATTGCAGAGGTGAAGGCTAATGAAAGGAGAAAGGCTCTCGAGGAAATCATATATGCACTCATTGTGCAGAAATTTATGGATGCCGAAGTTTCTTTGATACCATCCGTCTCATCCTCTCCTGATAATACTAGCAAAGTCGACACTTGGCCAAACCAAGTCGAGAAGCTCGAGAAGATGCACTCACCCGAAGCTCTCCAAATGATCAGAAACCACCTTGCTCTAATCTTAGGTAATCGCTTATCTGATTTGAGCTCTGTTGCCCAAATAAGCAAGCTCAGGGTTGGCCAAGTTTATGCAGCCTCTGTGATGTATGGGTACTTCCTCAAAAGAGTGGATCAAAGGTTCCAACTTGAGAAGGCCATGAAAGTCCTACCTTTTGGCGTGGATAGTGGGAACCTGTCAATGGAGCAAGTCCTTGCTGATGACTCCGGACCCAAGGACCTTAACAATCAAACTAAAAACTTGAAACCCAACGATCAGGCTTATAGTGGAAACCCAACGTGGTATGAAGCTTCTCATGGTTCTGAGCAAGATGGGGTTGATATGGGTGTTAATTTTAGCCCTGGTGGTTTTGGTTATGGCCTCAAGTCTTATAAACTACGGTCTTATGTGATGTCTTTTGATGCCGAGACGCTCCAAAGGTATGCAACAATAAGATCAAAAGAATCTGTTTCAATTATTGAGAAGCACACTGAGGCCTTATTTGGGAGACCTGAGCTTCGCATCACCCCACAAGGCACTGTGGATTCTTCGAAAGATGAAAACATAAAGATAAGCTTTGGGGGCTTGACAACTCTTGTTTTGGAGGCTGTGACCTTTGGGTCCTTTTTGTGGGATGTGGAGAGCTATGTGGATTCAAGGTATCATTTCGTAACAAACTGAGTCAGTGCGCTGATATAAGAGCGAGAGAGAGAGAGAGAGAGAGAGAGAGAGAGAGTAGTACGTGGAGGACGGGTAGGGTAAGAAGTAACGAAAGTAAGGTAAGGTAGGACGACGACGGTAGGTTTAGTTTTGTACGTTACGTTTAGGTACGTCTCG